CAAAGAGGTTGATTCTGGGAGAGCAAATGCAAAAAGCTGGAACTCATCCACTACTCTAGAATCAAACACTGCTACAAGGAAGGGCTGTTGCTGGGCAACTGGCAGGAACAGGAAACCAACAGGGGCTGGTTGCTTCTGTGCCTTTTGCCCTCTAGGCTCCATATGGCTTTGATTGTGACAGAGTCACCTGGCAGGGAAGAAATGTTTGTAGAGTCCCCACCCTCACACCAAAGCTGTGGGCAGAAGGGAGAGGCTGAAGTGAAGAGACAGTTATTTGGTAACAACATTATTTCCTGTTAGGCCATGACTCCCACTGTCTGAGGCTGGTTGGTGTCAGATCATAGGGATGTTTATATGGCGTACCAAGATACTTGGGAGATTCTTGAAAGCAAGGGGAGGATCTTCAGGATGGTGAGGCAGAAGATGAACATCGGGACCTGGAGCTTTGAAGAAGGCAGAAAGCCTAGGGTATTTGAAGATCACAGTAGTAAGATTCTTCCTCAGACTCACTTCTTTATTCTTGTATTGTTTTGTGACAATGCTTTCATCAATTTATAGTGTGATCAGTTTTCATAAAGCTAAACTTTATTCCGTTTTAAAAGGTTCTCCTTTGAAATCATGGCCTTCCAACTTGTCCCTTTGTCTGTGCAATTCTGACAGGCTTTAAACCATCTACACTCATCTAATCTGATTCTATCTATCTGTCTATCTATCTATCTATCTATCTATCATCTATCATCTATCACCATCTATCTATCCTAGCTTTCAAATGAAGATGAAGAGAGCTATTCTTTCTTATTCTGCACCTTTGGTGTTTTTCTTTCTGTATTGTAAAACCCACAAAAATAAGAACAAGACCCCAGGCTGAGGAAGTAAATAGAAGAAGGAGAGACACAGAAGAGGAGCAAATCATACTATAACACCATTGGGTGATATACCAGACTGTCCACATTTATACTATGTACACATATGGCCTCTTCCTGAATCTCAAATACATCATCAGGCTATTTCTTTCAGCAACAAATCTCTGCAGTGCCTATCTTGGGATCAGTAAATATAAATGTAAATGTATATGTATTACATATTTATATTTGTTTATATATTTCATGTCAATACTACTCAGAGCCTTGGGCTCTCACTTGGATTTTTTTTTGTTCTACCACTTGAGCAATACTCTACTTCTGTTTTTTTTTCTGGTTAATTTGAGATAAGAGTCTCTTGGATTTGTCCAGCCAGGCTGGCTTAAAATCTTGAACCTCAGGTTTCAGCCTCCTAAGTAGCTAGGATTACAGGTGTGAGCCACCAACACTCAGCATACAAATATATTTTATGAAAGACACTAATGTATCATTCATCTTCATATTTCCTCCTTAATTTCTTCCTTAGTAAATCATTACTCCGTTTATAGTTTCGTTGAGCACAGTGACCTTTACTGAAAAGCCCTTTCTGGAACAGCTGTTTGCTGGCACAATGACTAGGGGATTCCTCCCCCTATCCTTCGCTGTCCTTCCTGAGAGGAAAGTGGAGGGATAATGAATGTTTTGCTCCTCCTCTGATATTGCCTTTTAGAATGTCAGAGTGTTCTCCTTGCTAGCAGCTGTTCAGATAGCCTATTCCTTTTATCTCATCACAGACGTAGAACTAGTTTTGTTAAATTGACACCAGCAGCGAATGCCTAGGGGAAGCCAGGTGCTGTATTTTCATTTCCTTAAATCTCATATTTGATTTTCATGGTTTTTTAACATCCTCTCTACTACCAAATCAAAATGACATACAGTTACAACAAAAACAGCCTAGTGATTGCCTGTGGAGGATACTGGTAGTGAACTGGTGATCAATATTACGTTGCGGGGTTTTGTTTTTTTATTTTTATGTCATTCTTCTTTAAAAACAGACCTGCACATGCGTACGGGCATGTGCAGACACACACACACACACACACACACACACACACACACACACACACACACACACACACACACACACACACACACACACACACTCAGTTTCCCATCCACATAGTATCAGATCCATTTCAATTTTGGGGATCATATCCTTCTCCAGCATGAAATACATTTGTGAAATTTTTCAAGAAAAGCAAACTGATCTTAGGGTGTATTAAGTCTCTCTCCCTTAAAAAAATCTGCTCCCTCTTGTTGTCTATTTTCTTTCCACTTATTGTTCACACAATTGTTTACAATATTGTTTACTTACAGTCTCTCTCAGAGCCATGGAATTCTCAGAGCCATTCGCTCAGTGCTCTGTTGCTTTGAAGTCCTGAGTTTGTTTTGCTCATAGGATTTCAATTACGAATGCCAGTTGTTCTCTTCCTGTTCATTTCCACTGTGATCTCCCTGGCAGATCATTGAGGAGTTCTGTGTAGAATGGAGAATATTAATGGGCCTGTTTTGCTTGTCTCATTATTTAGGAGTCACAAAGTGTGACTTCAAACTGCCAAAGAGAATATTGCTTGCTGTCTGCCCTTTTCTGTCCATTGGTTACATGCTTGCTCTCTCCTATTATCTCTCTGACTTTATTCTGTATTACTCTCTATTAGACTGGAGTCTAGATAGTGGAGAATCCCATTCCCCTCTTCTTGTGCTCTCCTTACAGTTTCCAATGAAAGGATGTTGTAGGGTGCCACAGTCAATATTTGAATCCAATTTAATTATGATAGCATAACCACCAAGTGCTAGGGTGATGATTTTTGTGTGATCTCTGATCCAGTCTGTTCTCAGGGTGCTCTTATTTATGTGTCCTTCAAATACTACACAAACATATCCAAACCTGAGCCCTCACCTCCTCTGTGTTCTCCATGATGATCAGTCCCATTGTCATTGCTTTCATCTTCCCTTTCTTTTCTTCACCTAGTTATCTGATAGTTCATTGAATATATATGTTACAATGCCAAATAAAGATGGTGGCGCTCATAAGAGACATTGTTCCTTTCTGAAAGGTGTTGCAGTCAATCACAAAACATAAAAATATTTGTAAATAACCTATATCCTAATATAAAGCATAATGTGTTGCCAATCACCTAAGCATCTGAAAACCTGTTAACTTGTATTTCCTTTTTATCCTATCTCCCGCAGTGGCAGAAATCTGTAAATACAGGTTTTTTATATGTTCACAGGTATTTTGAAATAAGGGCTTATCTGTTTTGTTTTGTTTCTCTTTTGTGTGTGTGTGCATGTGTGTGTGTGTGTGTGTGTGTGTGTGTGTGTGTGTGTGTGTGTGTGTGTTGGTTCTACAGCTTGAACTCAAGTCCTAGGCACTGTCCTTGAGTTTCTGTGCTCAAGGCTAGTGCTCTATCACTTGAGGGACAGCTCTACTTTCTGGCTCTTTGGTGACTAATTGGACATAAGATTCTCACAGACTTTCCTGCCCAAACTTTGAACCTTGATCCTCAGATCTCAGCCTCCTGGGTAGCTAGGATTACAGGCGTGAGCCACCAGCACCCGACAGTTTTGATATGATGGCTACCAAACTTTTCATCTGTTTATCTTGCACATTCTGTCTTCTACCTTACTTTAGTATGGTGGTGGTAACAGTTACTGTCAGCCCTATTATTACCACAGCTTCATCTTCAGCCTGTTTGTTTCCTAAATTCTTCATTGTTGGTTACCATATCCTATCAATTTGCCCCTTCCTTAGGATCCTGGATTCCATTCTTTGTCTAATGTGTTTCTCCGTTTCCACCTGGACCCATCCAGGCAATGCTCAGCTATCCTATTGCCAGAGGAGATTTCTAAAACCCAAGTCATACTTTGCCATTGCTCATTGTTAAAACATTCAGTAGATCCCCACTGTATTCAAAAGAAGAACTGGGCACCTTAGGATGGCAAACCAAGACTGCATTATCTGACTACTACTAGTACTGCAGACTTTTCTTTTGCTATCTCCCTCCTTTCCTCCCCACCAGTTAGAGAGGAGGAGGGCTGGGAACTCTGGAGTCAAGGTGTTCAGATCCAGACTCTACCATTCACTAGCTGTGTTCATTGGTCACTATGTTCTCTGGGCTTCTGCTTCCCTTTCTGAAAAATGGGAGAAATGATGGTTCCTCTTTCATATAGTTTTTGGAAAAATTCAGCTACTTAATATATGGTAAAGGCTTCCAACAGAGCCTGGCCCATAGTAAGTAATTATGATTATTAGTTCACTTGAAGCTCATCAAAGAGGTTATCATTGATTTTATTTCTTGCTTTTGTATATGCTGTTTCCTGTGCCTATGATCATCATCTTTAGCAGTGATCTTACTCATTTTCTGAGCTTCCGTTTAGTTGTCAACCCCTTTGGGAACGCTTTTCCTTCCTTACGCTGCTCTAGAAGGTTTTTTGTTTGTTTTGTTTTGTTTTTGACAGTCGTGGGGCCTGAACTCTGGGCCTGGGTGCTGTCCCTGAGCTCTTCAGCTCAAGGCTAGCGCTCTACCACTTGAGCCACAGTGCTACTTCTGGTTTTCTGGTGGTTAATTGGAGATCAGAGTCTCAACTGACTTTCCTGCCTTGGCTGGCTTCAAAGTGCAATCCTCAGATCTCAGCCTCCTGAGTAGCTAGGATTATAGGCATGAGCTCTAGAAGTTCGAGGTACATTTTTTAAAATTCATTTCATGATAAAATGAAAAAGAAAAAAATGTGAGTAACATGTAGTGATAATCTGAATATTGAAGAGTCCACCTATATCACAATGCATTAATTTAATTTAGTAATATTGTCTTCAATCATATATACTTAATTAAGCCATGCTTACAATTTTTCCAGGAACAAGGTGAAACCATTCAATGTAATTTGAGGAGAAGGAATTGTGTGTTTTACTGAAATCATAAGAATTGATTTATAAATCACTATTGGAATTGTGATCCATTCTGCATCTTAACTGTTCTTCTAGTCCTTCCTTTTTGGGTAATTTATGTGTAGTTCAGGAGGTCACCCTGGCTATGGCAGATTCAGTATTTTTTTTTTTATGTAACATGACATTTAGTATTTGTTTTTATTTCCTTCTAGGGCCTGAATTCCCTTTAAAGATTCCTACAGAGTGTTCGTCATGTGAAGGATGGTGCTATTTGATTTCGCTCCTACTTCTCATTGACAGTACACACTAGGAGTCGTGAGAAATAACTGTCACTCTCTGAGGGTGGAAGCTGCCATGATTTACAAAGACAAGAAGTAATTTTCATGTAATCACAAGATGACTCAGGTTAGTAGCTTTCAGCTATTTCTGCAATCTAAATACACAAAGAGTTTTTGGCAATATGATCTTCTAAACCTAATTAGTCCCAATTCCTAAAATTTGTCATTTATGACAGTGTAATATAAAGTTGGAATTTGTTTTCTTTGCACCAGGTAGATAAATTATTTGCAAATCATTGCACAGGATAAGTAAAAACATACAATTGCATTTAGTATTTTAAGATGCTTTTCTAAGGTATAAACTCATTTTTAAACAATGGTTTTTCAGAATAATGTGTGGATAAGTTTGAAGTGCCAGGTTCTAAGAAGCACAAAGCTAGCTAGTCTTTAAAATTAGTGTATGATAATTGTATAAATAATGAGCTTTCATTATGACATTTTGATATGTGATGTAACAATACTTTAAACATATTCATCCTTCCGATCTTCTCTTGTTTCCACAAAGGCTACTTTACAATTTAGTCTTACAATAAAGTCTTATAATAATCAACTTTTATTTTCACCTTGGAATTACAGATTGGGCATATCTTTGAAATTTAAAATAGAGTTTTATACAATATCTTTTTAAAAATATTGTGTCTTTTGTTTCATTTACAAAAGAAGAGCAATTTATAATATGTGTGTCCTATTGTATAAAAATGTGACATTTATTGCCTAGAGAATGTCTATAAAATGGGCCTCTGCTAGGAAAAGGGAGCATAAACATAAGACATAGCCAGGGGAACTCAGTCATTGCCTTGCATTTCTCTGAGTGCCAACTGGTTATGAAACCAGTGTTCACAATTTATGACTGAAGAGTTGAGGACCAGCTTGCCTAGTAAAATACTGCTGTCTTCAAGAAGGAGTTAAAGAAATAGCCCATTGATACTTTTGCTTACTCAGTTAATCACTGAATAATGCTCGGTCTTCAGCAGTATAATATATATCACGTGCATATGGATCACATAGATAGGTAGATAAGATATATATATAGAGAGAGAGAAAGAGAGAGAGAGAGACATACACAGACAGATTATACATATATCAAATTTCACTACCTATTCTCCAAGGGCTTATACTCTAGTTGAGAGTATACACAGAAGTGGAAGTGCACAATGATATTCGGAGAAATGACCTAAGAGTGCTGGAGATGAGCAATTTTCAATGTATAGAAGCACTGGGAACAGTTATTTCTATCTATAGTTATTCAGGAAGCCTTTTTGGAGGAGGACAATGCAGTGCTAACCTGTGAAGGCCACATAAGATTTTGCTAGAGGACAATAAGAGGACATTGCAGATGACAAAGAACAGATTGCTGCCTTTGCCAAAGAACTAAGGAACTTTGTCCAATATCCACAGGAAAGAAATGAGTAAACATGTTATTCTATTTTCTGTTGCTCTACAAAATACCTGGGGCCAGAGACTGGCACTGGTGGCTCATACCTGAAATCCTAGCTACTTAGGAGGCTAAGATATAAGAATCACAATCTAAAACCAGACCAATAGACAAATTGAAAAGACTCTTTTTTTTTTTCTGTCGGTCATGGAGCTTGAACTCTGGGCCTGGGCGCTTTCCCTGCTCTCTTCAGCTCAAGGTGAGTGTTCTACTGCTTGAGCCACAGCACCACTTCCGGTTTTCTAGTGACTTACTGAAGATAAGAGTCTCACAGAGTTTCCTCCCTGGCTGGCTTTGAACCGTGATCCACAGATCTTAGCCTCCCGAGTAGCTAGGATTACAGGCGTGAGCCACCGGTGTCTGGCAAAGAGACTCAATCTCTCCAGTTAATCACCAAAAAGCCAAAAGTGAGGAATAGCTTTGAGTGAAAAAGCAAGCAAGAATCAAGGCTCTGAGTTCAAGTCCCAGTACACATACACACACACACTCTCTCTCTCTTTCTCTCTCTCTCTCTCTCTCTTCCATGTGATCCTGGTGTTGGTAATTTACAATTGTAATCCTAGCTACTCAAAAGGCTAAGATTCGAGGATCATGGTTCAAAACCAGCCTGGGGAAGGAAAGTCCCTGTTAATCTCCAATTAACCACTCAAAAACCAAAAGCAAAGCTGTGGCTTTAAGTGGTAGAGCACTAGCCTTGAGTAAAAAGAGCTCAGTGGGGGATGAGAAGGTAACTCTGTGGTAGAATGCTTGCCTTGCATGTATGAGGCCCTAGGTCCAATTCCTTAGTACCACATAAGCAGAAAAAGCTGGAAATGGTACTGTAGCTTAAGTGGTAGAGCACTTGCCTTGAACTGAAGAGCTGAGGGACATTGCCCAGGCCCAGAGTTCAGTCCCCATGACCGACAACAAAAAAAAAAGAGAGAGAGAGAGCTCAGGGATAGTGCCCAGGCCCTGAGTTCAAGCCCCATGACTGATTAAAAAACAACACAAAACAAAAAGTACCAGAGGCTAGAAGTGTATAAGGGAGAATTTATTTAGCTGGTATTTTTGGGTTGAGTAGCTGTATTAGTTGGGCCCCTGCTGACAGCCTGCCTGTGAATCACCACATAGCAAACGACCTATGACAGGAGCCTGCACCTGAGGGGAAGACAGTCACAGTCACATGGGAAGGCAGGAAGCCAGAGGAATAGAAGGGTCATGCTTATTCTTTTTATAACAACTCTTGCAAGAACTAACTCACTCAGGAAACCAGCATTTATTCCTCTCAAGGGTGATATCCGTGAACTAACTACCAAGCGAGGTACATAAAGTTCCTGCCTCACCACTTCAATGTTGCTCACCACACTGAGACCAAATTTCCAGCCTATGAGCCTTGGGTGGCACACTCAAACCACATCCACACCAGAGCAGAGATTTCTTTGAGTGTCTCTGAGATTATTACAGTCATGGAGCCCACAGTGCATAAAGCTGGAAAAGTAGACTGGGGTCAAGCTGACCTTTGGAAGAATCTAAGACCTTTGAAGAACCTAAGTTTATCCTTTTTTTTTTTTTTTAAATTTAATTTAATTTTATTTGTGAACATACTGTACAGAGGAGTTACAGTTACATGGGCAGGATAATGCGTACATTTCTTACCAAGCATTGCAGCCTCCTTCTTTTGTTTACCCTTCACATCTCTTCCCAGCCTCCCCCCTCCCCCCCAATCCCAATCCTTCTCCTTCCCCCCCCCCCGCCCCCCCCCCAAGTTTATCCTTTAGGCAACAGAAGACCTGCTAAAACTTTCCTACAGGGAGAGGAACTATTAAAAGTATATTTATGCACTAGCAAGAACTAGAGGTTCTTAGCTGCTGTTAATGGATTTATGGAGGGAAAATGACAAATTATCATCAACAAACCAGGAATGAAGTAAATGCTATATTATTTCTGGGGGACAGAGGCTACCCTTGGGGACAAATCAAAGCCTTCTTGGAGTTCCTTATATCTCTGTGGATCAAATGCAGTGTCTCTCTTCACCTTGATGGACACAGTAGCAAAACTTCCCCTGGGAGCTTTTATAGCTCCTCTGAATATCCTTACTCCTCACACACGTATGTGAGTATGTGTGTACTTCACAAAAATCATTAGGGCATTATAGACCTGGAAAAAGACCTCTTTTTTCATTTTATTTAATTTGTAGGCACGCCATACATTCAAAGTTGCCCGTAAAATTGTAACTGTTGAATGTCTGAATGGTCACAATGTACACCCTTCCTTTCTTCCTTCCTTCCTTCCTTCCTTCCTTTCTTCCTTTCTTTCTTTCCTTCTTTTTTCTTTTTGTTAGACCTGGGGCTTGAACTCAAGGCTTGAGCACTGTCCTTGAGCTTCTTTTTTTGCTCAAGGCTAGCACTCTATTGCTTGGGCCACAGTACCACTTCTGGCTTTTTCTGTTTATGTGGTACTAAGGAATCAAACCCAGCGCTTCATGTATGCTAGGCAAGCACTCTACCACTAAGCCACCTTCCCAGCCTAAACACCCACCTTTCTGTTTTTGACCAGAAGTGTTGCATTAGGAAAAATTGCTCAGGGTGAAGACAGATGGGGATAGGAGGAAGATTTGGGGTGATGAATATGTTCATTGTTTTTATGGAATTGGTGATTTCCTGGGTGTCTACATATGTCCAAACATCTGCACTTCAATTATGAGTAGGTTGTAACATGTTGATCATAATTACACTAAACTGTTGAAAATAGAATTCAAAAAGAACTATTGCTCAATGAGATGGAGTTTGTTGTTTGATTATTCATTTATTGTTCTGTGTCTAAAAGGTGGTATACAAGTATCCTAGCTGCTCATTTTTCTCTCCTTTTCTCTCTCACCCCTGCTGGCTTTGCCCGGTCGCATTCTGTGTACCTGGACTCAGGTCCTTTCCATCTGGTAGGCATGATGCTGCCAACAGTTGGCCTTTACCTCTTTCCAGCTCTGTGTTGCCATGTCTTGTTTATCACACTGAGATGTCTCAGAGGACTCTGCTGAGCTCAACTTCCATCACCTGCCCATCCTTGACAGATGACTGTCCAGCAATGAGGGCTATACCATGCATGAACAGCAAGCTTGAGTCACATGCCCATTTGGGAACCCAAGATGTTGGGGGGACGGTGAGCCTTGAACTGAGCTGTACAAATTAAAACAATACATACATTATCTACCTAGAGCTCGATATGCCTAGATCAACAATTTTTATTGTAAATTCAATCATGTTGCCTTCCCCATGCCCACCAACTTAAAACCACCTTCCCCCAGCACTTAGCATAAAATCCAGACTCGTTTTTCTGATTTTTAATGCATACCTGACATGACTTCTCTCTCTCTTTCGGGTTCCCTATCTCTCTCTCCCTTCCCCCCCCCCCCCACCTTACACATTATTTTTTCTTCTCCCATGACTCACTAGTAAGGCATGCCTGGGCTATCATTCCTCAAGCAAATTTATGCCTTAGTGCATTTAAACTAGCTATTCTCTCTCATTTTTCACATGCCTGGTTTTCTTTCTTTTTCTTTTTCTCTCTTTTTTTCCATTCTTTTCTTTACGATGCTAATGGAGCTAAACCTTGCACTCTTGCTAAGATTTCTTTTTTGCATCTGGCACTCTACCACTTGAACCATGTCTCTTTTCTGATATTTGGATGGATAATTGGTGATGGAATCTCATAGACTTTTCTGCCTGGACTGGCTTTGACCTGCAGTCCTCCTTGGTAGCTTGGATTAGGGACATGAACCACCAATGCCTGGCTTCATGCTTGTGAGCAGAAAGCAAACAGATAATTTAATGTCGTGGGTCTCCCTTTCATGAGCACAGTCTCCCCTGCAAAGTTAGTTGCTTTTTTCTCTGCTTAATTTTGTTTGTATTTACAATTGCTTTGGATTGGTAGCATTTAATTCTTACTTGTTTCAAGGTTACATCTTAAGTGTTATAGACTGCTTGACTAGTAGCAATAAAGGTAAAAATGCTGTATGTCTGCACTCTTGAGCACTAATTAATTGGAGTGTAAAATAATTGTTTCAAAATGTTCTTTTCTGAAAGAAGCAATTTGCCTGCCTCTAGAAGGATGTGGTTTTGAGAAACAGAAAGAGTTCAAGTGAAGAATATGTTAAAGCTAAAAAAAATGCAACTGAGATTCAAGGTTAGAAAATGAAGTATATCATAACTAAGGCCAGTACTGTCAAATGAGTGGATTTCTTAGAGTTGACTGAGTCTGACGCTCTGTCTAATCCACACAGAGCAACAAGCACCCTCTGTCTTTCCCACTTTCATGGTTTTATAGAACAACACAATCTTTCATGCTTTTCTCCCCAATTGCTATTTTCATCTTGCAGCACTATTTTCTCTTGCTTCACCTATATGTGCATGGCCTAAAATGGGCTCCCAAGCACAAACTCCAAGTGACTGCACCCAGCTACCTGCAGTTATCTGTGCTTTAAGTCACTTGGTTGAGATGTTCAAGGTTATAAGGGCTAGCTGTGGACTGGTTCTTTGTTGCCCCAGTTTTCACCCTGGGTTCAATCAGGGTTGCTGGGATGTAAGCAAGGGACCCCAAAGCAGTTCCTTTCAGATAATCAGCAACGAGCAACTCTATTATGTTTCCATCTTTCTAGTCATCTTGTACTTTTCATTTGCATCAACAGGATACTCAGAGAAAATACTCTTTTGTTTTGGAGAGTTTGTTGAGTAGAGATCATTAAAGTAAAAATTTCAAATATGTCTAATGTAGAATAGTATTTTCTGGGAAAGCAAATGGTATTAAAGAAAGAAAAGATTGTCATAGGCCCAATAACTTTTAGGAAAAACAAACTTAGAAAATTAGTTGGTATTGGTGGCTCATACCTATAATTCTATCTACACAGGAGTCTAAGATTTGAGGATCATGGTTCAAAGCTATCCCTGGCAGGAAAGTCCATGAGACTTATTTCCAATTAACTCCCCCCAAAACTGAAAGTAGAACTGTGGCTCAAGTGGTAAAGTGCTAGCCTTGTGCAAATAGTTCAGGGAGAGTACCCAGGCCTTGAGTTCAAACCCCAGAATAGGAAAGAAGGAAGGAAGGAAGAAGAAAAGAAAAGGAGCAGGAAGAAAGGAAAATGAAAAGAAGAGGAAGGGAGAAAGGAAGAAAAGGGAAGGAAAGGAACAGGAAGGAAGGAGAAAATAGATAAACAAGAAGAGTGGTGCATGCCTATAATTCCACTTAGAGACTGGAAGATCAAGAGTCCTTGGATACTACAAGGCCAGCCTAATCTATACAATGACATCAAAAATGTCTCAAAAACAAAGTCATATGAGACTTCTGTAGAATTTCTCAAAACAGTGATATGTTGTGTGCATTTTGGATGTCAAGGGAGAAACACAATATGAGGCTTTGACTGCTGACCTTTTTTAAAAATCCAGAGTATTTTACAAGCCTATACTTTGATAGCAGCCTGGATAATTTCCCTCTCGCCCTGTGTCGCCATTTTGTTAGTAGTAGTCTTATAAGATTAATCAGGCTACTGAACACATAAAGAATTTGTTTCTATAGTACGCATGAAATGTTATAGGAATTTTTTTTTAATTTTTTTCTCCAGTCATGGGGCCAGAACTCTGGGCCTGGGTACTATCCCTCAGCTCAAGGTTAGCGTTCTACCGCTTGAGCCACAGCGCCACTTGTGGCTTTTTCTGCTTATGTGATGCTGAGGAATCAAACCCAGTGCCTCATGCATGCAAGGCAAGCCCTCCTCCACTGAGCCACCTTCCCAGCCCCTGTTGTAGGAAATTTAAACCTACAGAGTTTCAAAAATGTCATACTGCAAGTACAATAAAGTAAAAATGTATTTGTTGTAGGGTTCTCTGAATTATATAGCCCGACTGATTCCTTGGGAAGGATATTTAAAGACTTCAATCTACTGAGATTTTGGCTTAAAAGAAAAGCATGCAGTGTTTGACTATTTAAAATGGACAGCTAACCATATGTCTGCTTTGTAAGTTCCAGTTGAGAGTATCATATAAACTGTTTCAACTTAAGTAGAAATATGTCAGACTGTACCGATCAGATAGAACAGTTTTCTCCAAGGAGAGACATTTGGTAAGAATAATAGCTGTGCTTCCAAAATAAAGAATTGATCTTGTCTAGAAAGTTAAGATGATTTAGGGCTATTCTTAAACCATAATCTTTGCTGAAGATTAGCAGATAACAACTCTATATTTGTAAGTCTTTGGGCAGTCAGTGGGCTAACAGTGAGGTTCTGTTGTGGACTTAAAAAAACACGTAAGAATAACACAAGCTGTAGGGCCAACTTTAAGAAGTCTGTGCCCCCTGCAGCCAGATCTGGTGCATTCTGTGACCTACTTGCCTTGGGTTGGTCTACCTTCCCCAGGATGGATCCTGAAGCTGCTAGGCTGGAGAAGCAGCATGTACATGATGTATATGAGAGCACAGCCCCGTATTTTAGTGATCTGCAGAGCAAAGCCTGGCCACGAGTCCGCCAGTTTCTCCAGGACCAGAAGCCAGGCAGCCTCGTCGCTGACATTGGTAAGCCAAGCTTTTGCCATAGGTGGCAAAAATGAAATGAAATATCCTCTTTCTACATCTCTCTCTTTCTTTCTCTCTCTCTCTCTCAACAAGAAGTCTGAAATTGTGTCCTTAACATTTAGACTATTCACTTTATAAAAGAAATGTATAGCCTCAAATCAGCTGGCCAAGAGCATCCTCACACCTACATTCAGACAGTGAGGATCTCTTCTAGATTTTTGTGCACATCTTCCACCAAAGTTGATCTAACATTGATCAAGTCAGGATAGAAATGATGGTGACACTGATGGTTTTGTACTGGTGGGTCACTTTGAATGGTCCTCATGCAATCTAAATGGGAGCCATAATTTGGGATTGTGGAAGAAGTCCTATATCCTCCTCTTACTAATCCCATGGGTTCCATCCCTTATATATACACATTGCACTATTAGAACATTAACATAATTAGATAAAAAATTTATAATAATTCATTCGTCTGGAGGACTTTAGCTCAGTAGATCTAAGACTCAGATTTAGGGGAAATTTGGATTGCCTTTCAGGCATGCCTACCCTAAAACTGCTTTGCATCAAATTATATTTTGACCGTGCCCATAAGAATCAAAAGTCTGTAGGTGAAAACTAACCTAGTGTGACATCACTCTTAATACTGGTGTGTTTGTAGGGGGAAGAAGAAGGGGAAGAAGAGAAAGAGAGAAAGAGAAAGGTCAAGGGAAGTCCAGAGCTTTGAATTTGTTCGGAATGGTATGAACAGGGAGGAAGTTTGGAGTGATATATGTCACATTGAAATTAGAAGTCTGAGAAATATCTTTATCATGCCAGATTCTAAAAATAAGCTTGGCTTTAGGCTTTGGAGCTGTGGTTTAGTGGCGAAGCACATACTTCAGAGGAGCTGTCAGTTTGGTCCCTATCACCACAAAATTGGGAGGGGGCAGCAGCTGACTTCAAGAAGATGCAGTGAACTCTTTCTTCTCATAACCTATATAAGGCAGCAGTATCTTAAACTAGTAAAGAGAAAAAGAACTCAGTACATAGCTAGGGGATAAAAGCACATAGAATAACAGAGCTAGTTTTTGTCACATCTTACACAGAAATAACTTCCAAACGAAGCAAAGATTGAATTGTAAGAACATGACATTAGTGAAGGACTATGTGAAAATTTGGTCATTTCTAAAACATTCTTAAGAACAAGGGTCTCTTTATTTAGTGCACAAACCCACACAGAGACTCCTAAGAGAATCTAGAACTTATTGTCATCACTCATTGGACCTGTGATTTATAAAATGGTAGTAAACATTGAATTAACAATATATGAGGTAATTATCCTGGTGAGAATTATAGGACAGGTTTCTGTGTTTGGTCATATGTCTTTGTCAACCTATCAATATGTAACCTGTCTCATTGTTCTTCTGTTTAAAGACCTCTTATTTGCTATGTATTGTTGACTGTCAATGTTAAACTCATGGCCAACACACTGTAACTCATGCTAGAACAAAGCTCATCGTTCATGTATTTTGTCCTTAGCAATGCTACAGCCTTTAGTTCAGGTGCTAAAATGCTTAAGGACCATTTTAAAAAGCAAAATCACCATTAAAAATGCAAACAAAAAAAAGAGGGATGGGAAGGTGGCCTAGTGGTAGAGTGCTTGCCTCGCATGCATGAGGCTCTGGGTTCGATTCCTCAGCACCACAGAAGCAGAAAAAAGCTAGAACTAGTGCTGTGGTTCAAGTGGTAGGGTACTAGCCTTGAGCTGAAGAGCTGAGGAACCGCACCCAGGCCCAGAGTTCAGCACCCACGTCCACCACCAACAACAACAACAAAAAAGAGTGACACCAAATATATTGCGGAAAAGAATACTTGTTTTTTTACAGTGTTGACTGAGATTATAACCAACCTAGTTGAGAATAAAAACCTGTATTTTGGGATGCTTACTGGGATTGAAATCCAGGAGACAGTACATTTAAGTAGCTTTGAGAATGTGCTCTGTTCCATAAAACAATGGCTATTTTGATAGCTTAACTACAGTGAGGGTGTTGACTATACTACTTGTTTGTCAGGATTATGACTGATGTTTCAGGGATTTGAAGCAAAGAATTGGGCTCAGTCTCAATCTCTGGGCAGTTTAGAGAGGCAAAAGGGGAGGATATTTCCACAAACTGTTACAAAGGCTGATTAAGTCTCAGTTCCAGAAAACTACAATTGACTCCGCTCACCAAGTCATCATATATTTGGGTTGGTGCTCAGACAATTCAGCTCAAAGTTCATTTGTTGGCCCATGCCTGTAATCCTAGCTACTCAGGAGGTGAGATCAGAAAGCCCGTGAGACTCTTACCTCCAATTAACAACTGGAAAACCAGAAGTGATGCTGTGGTTCAAGTGGTACAGTGTTCGCCTTAAACTGAAGAGCTCAGAGACAGTGCCCAGACCCAGAGTTCAATCCCTGAGACTGACCAAAAAAAAAAAAAAGTTCATCTATGATGAGCCTGACATCTGCCATAAGAAGGTCTCAACTCACTTCATTGCCCAGAAGCAAATGCTTCACTTTGATTATTTTTCTTGACATACATGAGAGCTGAGAAAAGAACGCTACGTGAGGCATCTCAGAATGAGATGCAAATACTGAGACTTGGGTTACTTCGACTTAGGGTTGATAGCAAATACATAATGAGGATAGACTGTATTGATAACTTTGGCTCAATAAAATGGAGAAAGTCTAGCTAAACCTAGCTAAATATATAATGGTACTTAAAAAAAATCAAGATACCAGCAGCCTGTTAAAACATAAATACTATGTGATTCACTTATATGTGAGATCTAAAAAGATTTGAACTCACAGAAGCAGAGAAGTTGCTCCCAGGAATTGGGGCTCAATCTGAGACATGCAGCCCCAGTAGGTCTACTGGGAACTCACCTCTGCCTGGAAGAAATGGTGAATAGGTGAGCAGAAACTTCCAGTGATCTCAAATTCTTCTCCCATTTGTTGTCTTTTTTATTTTTATGTTTTAACCCTTAACAGTGCTGCAGAGACAGCCAGTAGCAGTACCTCAAACCCTCTGGTGTTAGCCCTGCAGGAACAAGTTCTACAACTCCCATGTCTTAGGTGTCAAGGGATCCATGGAACTTGACAACAGCAAACACATTCCAGTTCCCACCACCACCAGCTCCATGGTCTCAGCTTCTGCTGCCAGTTCTGCTGCTTCTCCTGACACTGCCAGCACCTATCAGCTGCTGATGCCAGCTCCTCTGCTCCTGTCTGGGTGCTCTTGCTGCTCCTGCCACCATTGCTGCCCACCCCCTCCCCCTTGCATTACCAGCTCAATGAGGAAAATCAAAAGTAGACAAGAAAACCAGTAGGGAGAAGCCTTATTAGGCCTAATGTGGCAACATCAAAGAGATGTCTTTTGGCTGATCCTCAAAATAAGCAAAACAGCTTGTCTATATAGCTAGAAAGGTGGTATGATGAAGGTCTCTGCACCAATCAGGGTAGTTTATGCAAATGAAGAGTTGTGTTGCCACCAATCAGAGCACACTCCCTTACATCAGTAGATATGTCAATATATAAATGAGGACTGTGTTTGCATCAGTCACTGGCCTTCTGCTGTGCCATCAGAGGAAATGCCTTCCCTATGACCTGGATTTAAGTGGTCTCAGTCTCCTAAACTTCACTGAAGCTTGTGCTGGCAAAAAGAACAGTGTAAGCTGTTTGCTGGGGCAGCACCTTCAGCAGCCAGCTGAAGTTGTATTTCTGTAGCAAGCTGTGGTTGTTGTTTAGTGTCCTCAAGGTGTTCAAGCAGCCTGTACTAGAGTGAGGACAGTCCAGCCGCCTATCTGACAGTCCTTTGATCAAAGCCCTTAGGGCCTCTAGGAAGAATCTAACTAGGTGTCAATCAGGGAGTCAGATCTTCCCTCAGCTCCTATATCTCATTATATCCAAAGGGTGTAATAGGCCGAGTGCTGGTCTCACACCTGTTATCCTAGCTACTTAGAAGGCTGAGACTGAGGATCTGACTGAAAGCCAGCCCAAGCAGGAAAGTCTGTGAGATTCTTTTCTCTAAATAACCACCAAAAAAGCTGGAAGAACTGCAGTGGCTCAAGAGATAGAGCACTAACCTTGCACCAGAAAGCTACGGGACACCACCCAGGCCCTGAGTTCAAGCCCCAGTACTGAACAACAACAGTAACAACAACAAAATAATCAAAGATTGCAGTATAGATTTACCATTAATACTAGAAGCAACTCAACAGTATTTAAAAATAATCTAACAATGCTTGACTCCTGCCCAAGGCAGGATACTTTTTTAAAAATAAGATTAAAATTTAAAAATAAATGAAAAGGAAAGAAGTCCAAAAGAATGGGTAGAGAAAAAGATACATTAGTAATATTGTAACTAGACTATTTCCACTACCATGTGACAAAACCAATAAATAGAGACAGATTTATTAGAAAGGGAAGAAGTTTATTGGCAACATGCCAGCAAGTTGGAAAATGGGAACTTTTGTCCCAAAAAAGGTCATCTCTCTAGGGGTTGCAGGCACCGTATTTTATAAGGACTTTAGAGAAAGCATATGAGGTAGGAGGATGCTGGGGAAGTTTTAATGTTCCAGTGGTCTGCTTTTAACTGGGTGACATCTGTAGGCCACTGGATATTGGGCTAAAGAAAACTTCCGTTAGAAACTGATCTTTTCGGTTCCTTTTCCCAAGAGTAGCTAACACTATAGGTAATTGAGGTACAAAAGGTGTCGTTTTCAGGGAGAACAGAATAAGATAGTTAAAACGCTTTTTTCCAGTCTAGAACAAGAGGAAAAAGAGAAAAAAACATCTTTTCTCCCTAGAGGACATTTGTTGGAGAGTAGTTGTTTTGCTTTTCTAAACTGGTCAGTTAAGTCCAGTATGATATCTCCCTGAGGAAATGTTTCTAGGTGGCCTGCTTAGTTAAAATCACAGTTGTACTTTTCATTTGACTGCTTAGCAGTTTATAATGAATTATGGCTAACTACTAATAAAACATGCTAGTGATTAAAAAATATCAAGAAGTAACCAAGTTCTAGTTACCCAGACAGGACTTCTCTAGGCAGTTTTACTAATTTAGTAAGGAAACTTACAATTGTCTGAAATGCTATCATATCATATCAGTCATGCTCCAACCATGCTTATTTGCCGAGGTATGTGATAATGGCTTTAGGATGGAAACCAAGCCTTAAGAGGGACTAAGGGAACAGGAAAAGTAGCAGGAAAAAAAAAAAAAGAACTACAGTGATTCAAAGAAGAAAAATGATGTTAACAGTGACCTGTACAATTACAACAGCACCTTTACCTGAAATGGGATTGTCAATTTTAAATCCATTAGGTGTCACAGGGAGGGCATTGGATGCTTTGAAGCCTTTCTTTGGAATCAGTTTAGAAATTAGGAGAATGTACAGACCTAGAATGTTATTTGCTAAGATTCTTTATGCATCTGATCCCAGACAGAATGTTCAGTTGTGCTGAAAACGTTATCTTTGTGTACATAATACAACAAATTAATTTCTCAATAACTAAGATTCCACTTTTTAAGGCTCAGTGTGTTTGTTTTCAGTGTGTATTTTTAACTGGCTAAATCATTTGGTAGTGATCATTCCTTCAATGCGGAAATAAAATTAGAACACCCACTAGAGGGGGAGAGGAGGAAGGCAGAGAGCAAGCCTCATGTCTGCAGACTAAAATATATTTCCTCATCTTTGTAGTCAAGAAATGTATATAAAATATATAACATTTATCCTTCCCCATAGAAACAGGGAATGCTCTTTCAAGAAAGGTTTTATCTTAGCAAAGCTCTCCTAATTTTGAAAACGCAGTTCCAGGCTCCGGTGGCTCACACCTGTAATCCTGGCTGAGATCTGAGGATCCCGGTTCAAAGCCAACCCTGGAAGAAAAGTCTCTGTGAGACTCTTATCTCCAATTAACCACCCCAAAACTGGAAGTGGCACTGTGGCTCAAGTGGTAGATTGCTTGCTTTGAGCTGAAGAGCTCAGGGACAGTGCTCAGGCCCAGAGTTCCAGCCCCATGACCGACCCCCACCCCCAAATGCAGCTGTTTCTACAGACTTTGGGGAGAACATTCATATTAGTGACTTGCACCATAAACTCTTCATCGTCTCAGCTGGCATTTTGGTTTTGTGTCTCATAATTCTGAAAAACACCTATTAAGAATGAGTGGCTAAAGGCTGTCATATGTCTTTTAGAAGCAAACAATTGCCTTTGGATATTGGTAATATTTTTCTCAGAAAAATCTATAGGTTAGTCATGCCAGTAAATACAGATATCAGAGCTCATGACTTTTTTTTAGTGCTAATGACTTTTAAACATTGTAGAAGTGAATCAGATTCCATATCTATCATAGAATATATGTATCTATGCATATATATATTCTTTTGAGAGAGGTATCAACATGGTGCCAAGGCTAGTCTTAAATTCATGGGCTCAAGTGAACTTTCTGCTTCAGCCTCTAAGTAGTTGTGACTCCAGGAACATGCCATCACACATGGTATTATGATGATGATGATAGATAAATAGATAGATAGATAGACAGACAGACAGAAAGACATAGATAGGGATGCTAGATGTTTCAAAATGGTTATTTATCAGGTTACGAACTCTTTAGCACACTTTTAGTTATATCTATTGATTTAAATCTTTGGGTTGTACAAATCCTGAATGATTTGCTCTTTGCCACTAGACAACAATGTCAAAAATAGGTTTTTTTTGTCAGTTGTAAGGCTTGAAAAAAAAGTCTTTTTGTTAAGTTCTTCATTAGAACAGAGTCAGTAGATGTCATTTACAATTTAGCACTCACAGTAGATAAGGTTAAAAGATGTGAGATTTTGTATTTTCATTCACATTCAAGTTTTTTTAAAAACTTAAAAGCCATCAACTTTTAGGACAAACACAAGATTTTATTGCACAAATTAGTTATAGTATTGGAATGTCATTGGCAGAAGTTTGTCAGCAAGTGGTCAGAACCTTTGAAGATGTCAGGAGAGCAGCAGGCTTAACACACAGTCATACACAAGGAAATACATCTGTGACAGCAAAGTGGTCACATGTCTGTGCCTCGTTCCAGGTCATTCTTCTCAGTGCACTAGCTAGTGTGTTTTAGTTGTGCAAGTATACGAGGATTCACTACATAATCTCAGGCAGGAGTTGTAACTCAAATGGAAGGGTCCTGGTTCAAACCCCAGCACTGAAACAGACTATATCACATTCTTTCTTTTTCTCATTCTCTGTTCCCTTATATACAAAAGTATATAGAATTTTCTGAAAGCCTTTCCTCTGCTTTTGGGAATACCTTCACAGTTGTATACTGTCTTGGTTATTTAATATAAGACTTATATTGATTGTTGTAAGACAAAACTATTTTCTGTCTTCCATTAAGAATAACATGTTCTAACATTGAGATACCACCTCACCCCAGCTAGAATGGCAAAAATCAAGAACTCTAATAACAACAGATGCTGGAGAGGATGTGGACAGAAGGGAACCTTATTGCATTGTTGGTGGGAGTGTAAACTTGTTCAACCACTTTGGAAAGTAGTATGGAGGTTCCTCAAAAGACTCCACATAGAGCTCCCCTATGACCCAGCAATCCTACTTTTGGGCATTTACCCAAATGTTTACAAACAAGACCACACTAAAGCTACCAGCACGACTATGTTTATTGCAGCATTATTTACCATAGTTAAGATATGGAACCAACCCAGATGCCCTTCAGTAGATGAATGGATCAAGAAAATGTGGTATATATACACAATGGAATTCTATGCCTCCATCAGAAAGAATGACATTGCCCCATTTGTTAGGAAATGGAAAGACTTGGAAAAAATCATGTTAAGTGAAGTAAGCCAGGCCCAAAGAAACATAGGTCCCATGTTTTCCCTTATTTGCAATATCTAGTATATATATGAGTCAACCAGAAAAGGTCAGATAAGGTGATGTTAGGAAAATGAACCTTAAGATATGTATTTAAATGTTTTTTTTCTTTCATGCATTTGTTTCTAAAGCATTTATAAGATTATTTCTTTGTTGCTTTGTATGTCCCTCCCCCACAATATAATCCCTGCTTTCACTGTATTTGATGTCGGTATAATTTGTGGAGGAGATGGGGAAAAACAAGTCGTTTAAATAAGGATACAGGCAGACCCGTTGCAACAATGAGAAGTACAAGTTGTCATGTCGAAAACGAACTTTACAACTTTGGTGGCGGGGGGGGGGGGGGGGGGGGGGGGGGGAGGCGGGGGGGGAGGAATAGGTGGGGGGGGCAGGGGGAGGCTGGGAAGGGATGGGAAGGGTAAACAAAGGAGGAGGCTACAATGCTTGATAAGAAATGTACTCACTATCTTGCCCATGTAATTGTAACCCCTCTATACAGTATTTTCACAATAAAAAAAATAAAGGAACTTTAAAAAAAAAGAATAACATGTTCTAGATTCTGAAATGCTTGCTACTCAGGAGACTGAGATCTGCAGATCATAGATCAAAGCCAGCCTGGGCAAAAAAGACTGAGACTCTTATCTCCAATAAACCACCAAAAAGCTGAAAAGGGAGCTGTGGCTCAAATAGTAGACTGATAGCCTTTAGCAAAAAAAGCTCAGGGGCAGTGCCCAGGCCCTGATTTCAAGCCCCAGGACTTGGCAAAAATAAAAATAATAAAGAATAACATGTAACACAGGTTTTTCTCTTATAGGCTGTGGAACTGGAAAATATCTTAAAGTAAACAGCCAGATACATATCCTGGGCTGTGACTACTGTAAGCCCTTGGTAGAGATTGCCCGGAATGGAGGAAGTGAAGTCATGGTATGTGACAACCTTAATCTCCCCTTTAGGGACCAGGGCTTCGATGCTGTCATCTCCATAGGAGGTAAGACAGTTAGTCACACATTCACACTTTAATACGAGAATAACTTACATGGTTCAAGCCACTCTCATAATTCAACATCCATTCTGTTGTAAACAGGTCTATGTGATTTGTTTTATCTAATACTAGAAAAAGAAAATACTTCAGCTGTTTGAGTTACTTGACTAATCTCAAATGCTCTTTTGATGTAAATAATTGTTTAATTTATTTAAGCCTTCAAACTGTTATTGTATTCTTTTTGATGATTCATTCCTATTCCTTTTATTTATAAGGGGGAAAACGGTGCTAGAGTAATCTTACTCACTGAAGATAGTGCTTGGTTAGACTAAATAAATCTGATTCTTTCAACATGAAGGTTTTAGGTGTTATATTAACTTTTCTAGGACACTATCGTACCCTATACTAACAGAGAATTTGAGAAGTAATGAACTTGTCACCTGGATCAGTGTGCCGCTCACTGGCACTCAAGTTCCTGGAACACTTCGGATCACACCTAGTTTTAGAGTGCAGTGTGGGTTTTTGGTTTTCTGTTTGTTTTTATGTATACTGTTCTTAGGGCTTAAACTCAAGGCCTGGGAACTGTTCCTGAGCTTTTGTGTTTAAGGCTAGTGTGCTACCACTTGGAGCCACAGCTCTATTTCTGACTTTGTGGTAATTATTTGAAGCTATGAGTCTCATGGACTTTCCTGCCTGGCTGGCCTTGAGCCACAATCCTCAGGTATCAGTCTCCTGAGTAGCTAGGATTACAGGTGTGAGCCACCAGTTCCTGACAAGAGTGTTTTGTTCTTATAATGCTGTTCTGCCCTTTTTTGTCCGAGACTGTTCATGAGTATAAGAAATGTGTTCATCATATTTCTCAAAAAAAGTATGCCTGGAAAACACACATGTATCCCCCTAAAAATCCATGCACCTATGGCTTATTTTACCCAATATATGTATTCTAGATACCTATTATGTTAGTCTTATTTAAGTTAGGTAGGAAATTTGTATTTAAGGGAATCCTAAATTTTGCAAAGCAAATTACTTTAAGAAGCTACTCTGAGTATACAAAGCTTTACCAAAGCAAAGTTATCTTACATAAAACTATTATTCATATATAATATGAGTTGTTTTTTGTGAAATAGATGAGAGAACATTTTTTTCAATGAGATGGGAATTATATATTTGCCTTCTGAAGAGGTGCAAGCCTGGATGCCATAACCTTGAATTGGTTAGGACTGGCAAGAACTGGTGTTCATGGAAACCTGCCTTATGACATCTTAGTTCTGTGCACTTTAAACTAGGACATCTGTTTTCATTGTAAGCATGGTAAGAGGCATTCTTAATCTCTTCAGGCCGCTATAACAAAAATCTCAGACTGGGGGAATTGGGCAGTAGACATTTATTTCTCATGGTTCTAGAGGCTGGAAAGTCTAAGATTGAGTTTATCAACAGGGTGAGATGCTTGAGAAGGCTTGCAGACATCTGCTACTTTCTCCCCTGTTGCTGTGTCTTTGTGCAGTAGCAAATCTGTTCCTGCTTCCTAAAATCATTACCCACCTTGTTTGGGGATAAGGCTTGGGTCTATATTTTAGGGGCACTCAACCATAACAAAGAAGGGTCGTTGTTGAACTAGACAACATTACATAGTGCTTTCAGTCTCCATTGAAAGATATTTGGATTTGCTTATCCCACCTAAAGAAGTTGAAATCTGGTAAAGTCAGAAAAGTATATAACTAGAGTCAGACCTGGGGTTGTGTGCGTATAGTCCTTAGATTTTGAAGAAAGGTAGGAATATAAGTCTAATGTGCAGGAAACAGGCAAGATGGTTGAGAGTTCAAGACTAGTTTGGACTGCATAACATTGTCTCTGTCTCAGATGAAGAAATGGGGAAAAGGAGGAAGGAGAGAAGGAGAAGGAAGAAGAGGAGGAGGAAGAGAACAAGGAGGAGGAGGAAGAGGAGAAGGACAAAGAGAAGGAGAAGGAGAAGAAGGAGGAGGAGGAGGAGGAGGAGGAGGAGGAGGAGGAGGAGGAGGAGGAGAAGAAGAAGAAGAAGAAGAAGGAGAGAGGAGGAGGAGGAGGAGATGGAGGAGGAGGGATGGAGGAGGAGGAGGAGGAGGAGGGATGGAGGAGGAGGAGGAGAAAAAGAAAGATGTTGTTCTAGAGTGGTTTAAGAACAAGTTAATGACCCTCAAAGCACTTGGTAATAGAACATCAGTATTGTGTTGGTTCTGTCTCAATCCTCACTTCATGCCTAATCTAGATCAGCGACCGATGCATGAATTCTATGAACGGGGGTTGCAATCTTCCTAGGAAGATGGAGTGATTGGTCAAAGATCACAAGGTTAATTCCTGATAAATCAGAGGTTAAATATGCCAGTGGTGGCTTGTTCTTCAATCCCTGCTTACCTTCCTGTCTCTAGCTTTCCCACACTGCTGCATAATAAAGATAGCATGGTTTGTACAATGTTGATAGGAATGCAAACCTAATATATAGTAATGTAAAGCGTTCCTGTTGAATTCTCTTCTTCACTTATTCTTAAACAGCCAGATTTGCTCAGTTTTGCTTGGGACCAGTTTCTTCCCTGAAATATGTAGTAGCCTCTGTTTGGACAAACAATTTCATGTTTTCTCTTGACACAGTACTGGAATTAAACTTCTGGGAACTAAAAGACTAGCCATTTCTATACACTGTTGGATTAATAATATATCCAACAAGGCAGGGGATGTAGATCAGTAGTAGAGCATTTGCTTAGCAGGCACAAGACCCTAGGTTTGATTCCCAGATCAATAAATCAATAAAATTATATAAATATATATCATATAGTATTATATATGTTTAATTATATACATACCTAAAAACACACAACTATAAAAGCAGTCTTACTTGAATCTCACTGCAACTTTATAGACATTTGAAGTAAAATGATGACCTATAAATATATATTTTTTTAATATACACAATTACAGATGGGCACTGGTGGCTCAGATCTGTAATCTTCGTTGTGCAAGGGACTGAGATCTTAGAATCCTGGTTCAAGAAAAGTCCTTGAGACTCTTATCCAATTAACCATAAAAAGAAAAGCCTGAAGTAAAGCTCAAGTGGTAGAGCACTAGTCTTAAGCAAAAAAGCTGAAGGACAGCACCTTCATCTTTAGTTCAAGTCCCAGGACCAGCACATACATGCGCGCACGCACACACACACACACACACACACACACACAGACCACAATTATATTAACATTTAAACACATCATCATTTGAACTTCTACAGACTCATTCTTTAATTATCTAATCAGAAAAAAAAAACATTTTTAACATTACCTCTACTTCTATTTGCTTTATTAACACTAATGATTGGTGGTGTTCATCTTTAGTTTCTATAAAAAGCACCAATTATGCCAGGCATTAATGGCTCAGGCTTACAATCCTAGCTTCTAGGTACTCAGAAGGCTGAGATCTGAGGATCTTGGTTTGAAGCCAGCCTGGGCAGAAAAGTCCTGTGAGACTCTTATCTCCAATTTGCCACTCAAAAACTGTAAGTAGAGCTGTAGCTCAAACTCATAGGGTACTAACCTTGAGCAAAAGAGCTTATAAACAGTATCCAGGCCCTGAGCTCAAGTCCTATAACTGCCCAAACAAACCCACCAATTGGTGGGTTTTATATTAGCATAATTTAATTATACATAAGGATTTCATTGTGTTATTTACATATGTGTGCATAAACTGAATTCTTTCATAAAATCCTACTGGGAAACACATACTGACCTTAGTCAGTATGTTTTAAGTTTTAGTGACTCATGCTTGTCTTCCTTTTGCTTAACAGGATTCACAGGAGTTTGGAATGGGGCAAGCCCTCACAGATTACTTATTCTAGGTTTCTTACTATAACCAAGAAAGTTAAAATTTATACAACTTAAATAATTTATCCAAGATCAGCTGTCTAATAAGTAAGGAAAATGAAGCCAAAAAATCGTATTCTTTCCTAAAAGTCGACCTATGTTGTTCCTCCCACCTGCCTGGCAGTATAGAAGGAGGTTTTGCTCTGTCAAAATTTCATCATTGTTGGGCTGGGAAAGTAGCTCAGTGGTAGAGTGCTAACCTAGCATGAAGCCCTAGGATCAATTCCTCAGCACCACACAAGCAGAAAAGGCTGGAAGTGGTGCTGTGGTTCAAATGGTAGAGTGCTAGCTTTGAGCTGAAGAGCTGAGGTACAGCACCCAGGCCCAGAGTTCAGGCCCCACAATGGACAAAATAAATAAATAAAATGAAATAAAATTCATCATTGATCCATGAAACACTAGTATATAAATGTGTGTGTTTCTGTGTGTGTATTCACATTAAGATCTAGTTTCTTTCTTTCTTTCTTTCTTTTTTGCAGTCATACATCATTTTTCCACAAAACAAAGAAGAATCAGAGCAATCAAAGAAATGGCCAGGGTCTTAGTCCCAGGAGGTCAGCTGATGATTTATGTCTGGGCAATGGAACAAAAGAATCGCCACTTTGAAAAGCAAGACGTGCTTGTTCCATGGAATAGGGCCTTCTGTTCCCGGCTCTTCTCAGAATCCAGACCGTCTGGGAAAAATCAGCAGTGTGGACATCCAGAAAGCAGCCAGGCCTGCCATCCTGAGGGTACATGTTCTGTTTGTTTCAAGGAGCGCTGTGACTCCAAACGATCCCACAGCATGGACTATGGGTCTGTCATCTCCAGAGCCTGCTGTGGAAATACATCAAAGGAAGGGGAGCAGGAAAATGGCTTCTATAACACATTAGGAAAGTCTTTCCGTTCCTGGTTTTTCTCCAGGTCTTTGGATGAATCGACTCTGAGGAAGCAGGTTGAAAGAGGGAGACCATTGAGAACAGCAGATGGCTGGACCAGGAATACTATATCTATCCAGCCTTCTAGACACTCAAGTTTAGATTTGGATCCCCGAGAGCCATTTCCAGCCAAAGGGCCAAACTTGGATGAGGAAGTATTTGTGGAGAATTCTTCTCAAAAACTGTTGGCGTGGCCGAGAACACCAAGCACTCCGATGCACTTCCAGGGAGACCGTGGAGGAGAAAGTAAGCGAAATGGAGGGGGGGATTTTCTAACCAACACTTACAGTGAGAATTGTATGGATGCAGGGAACTTAGAAGAAAGTGTCCCTTCTGCCAGTCAAATATTGAAAAGGATTTCTGCAGTCAGCTCCACAGATTCCAACCCAGATGGCCCAGTACCCGTTGATGAACAGCCTGACCTGCTGGATTCCAAGGCCTTTATGCGCTACTACCATGTGTTTCGAGAGGGTGAGCTTTCTGACCTGCTGCTGAAGAACGCAAGGGAGCTCAGTATTCTGAGCTCTGGGAATGATCATGGCAACTGGTGTATCATCGCAGAGAAAAAGGAAAGTTGTGATTAAATGGACCATTTCGGGCAACTTTTTCAAAAGATCAACCATGAGCTTCCCTGTAGCATTGGTATGGTTACCTGAATTTTATAATAGTTAAATCCCTGTATAGCACATAAAGCATTTAGTGCAAGATATTGTCAATACAAAGATCTGAAAAGGCAATAGAAAATACCCTTCAGTAATTTAAGTTTTATTCCCAGCCCCAAGGATGAAACTCTTATAAGAATACATATATATACATATATATATAGTTTTTTCAGTATTATACTTTAATCCTTTAGGATTCTGCTGTTAATAGACCTTTCAAGTAGTATTTTTATATAAAGTAAAAGGGTAATGTTCTACATCTACATGCGAGAAAACAAGGAAACATATCCTGATGCTCAGATGTATAAAATGTTGGATCACATGATGGCCTATTTCATCATGAAGCTTCTACTTAAGTCTTCCAACAAATGGAAGACAACGGAGAGATACAGAAAGTGTTATGGCACTTGCCAAAATTCCAAATCAACTTCCTTCATGCTGAGTTCTGCATGAGTTATACCCAGTGTTGCTCAAGAGATTTTTAAAGGAACTATTAGCAGGATCTGGTGGTGTAACTCAGAGGCAGAGCACATGCTTAGCATGCTTAAGGCCTAGACTTTGATTCCCCAGCACCACTAGTTACTTAGAATAAAAACACCATATAGCAGGTAGAGAGCGCAGTCCACGGGTATGGGAAGTTATTGTTAGTATTCTGGTGGCATTTTTCAAACATCTGAGGAAAAAAAGAGAGTGGCCAGTTAAGGTAACATCAAGATTAAATACGATCATCTAGAATTGTGCTTTTCATATGAATTGAAAGAATATGTTGAAGAGTCTAATTGGAGCACTGTTTTCTTTTGCTCTGGGGATTAATATGTTGGCAAAATGCCAGGTAGATATTTGTTGGAGATATATGAGTGAGATTTCTTGTTTTAAAATTCATTTTAAAACTAGTATCTAGGCATTACTTTTCTGTGTACAAAATTAACTGCTATCACTTTATAGAGAAATGAAGAGCTTAGGCATTGTGTAATTACTGTATTTCAATTTACTCATGCATCTGCTTAAATCTATAGCTTGAATCCTAAGACATAAATTAAGCTAAAATGAGAGATTTAAGAAGATAAATGAGTTGACTAAGAATATGGTCCAAGACAGTTCCTTAATGAGTAGAATTTTTTTTTTAAAGACTTTAGTTTATGGACCCCTGCAATCCAAAAAGAAGCCTGATTTTTGTTTTGTTTTTCAACAACACAACAAAAATAATGGAGTAATGGATATTAAAAGGGGGGTACTCGTTTCTTCATTGATTGTACTGTGTACTTAAATTCATGGTGTTGTTTTGAAGAACTTGAAGTCTTCTATATCAAAGTATAACTGGAAAATGCTGGCATTTAAAACTCATTTGGCTTCGACCTAAGATTGGGTCATTCCTGGTTTGGTAGACCAAGTTGTCTGGTGGAAATGTTACATTAAGATTTGTGTTGTTCAATGCACATTTTGCATTAGAGAAACAATGGAAACACAAGTAAACCTAGAGTTTAAAATAAATTTTAATTTAGTTTGTCATCGATTTATCAAATTAGGACATTAAGTCATGAGTGTAAGTGGTTTTTGTCCTTGTGGAAAAAAATCTCTAATGGCCTTTTTTTATTATGGATAGACTGCTTTACTTCTCTCTGAAATTTATTCTCACTCTTTAATTCTAGGCTTTCTGCTAGAATTATGTGCTTGAGGTCATCTGTGCCTGATAGTAGCCTACAATGTAAAGGTCATGACATGGAATTCAGTTCATAAGTCATGCCAGAATAGTTCTGGAGCTCGTCTGTATGAGCAACACACACACACACACACACAGCCCACTTTGTAAAAGACGTGGGAGATAGTTTCATGTAATTTTGACAGAGCTGTAACTAAAATACCACTAGTAATAGCAGTCTTTTGATCTTTAAGTGTACAGCATAAAATTATATACATTAGATCTTATTTTGTATAACAAACATTAAACCCTATGGTCACTATCCTCTGAGGGATAGCCTTGTGAAAAGCACTCTTTCATTTAACTTTTGCCTTTGGATTAAAAACAAAGCCTTTGAACAGCTGAACTAATGTAGACATCTTGATCACTTAAAAAGCTTACTCATTTTTAGAGTTGTCCTCAAAGGAAAATGTAAGTCATAAATGAGTATATATATAGACAATTTATTTGTGAAGGTTCCATTAGTCTTAATTGGCTTGTTTACAGATTTTACTGATCTATTGGAAGTAATTTAAATTTTACTTCATTGTTAATATGGTGTTAAATAGCATCTTTGTAGTTCCTTCTTTTAGATTGGAATCAACAGTGAGTCCTACAGTCTGATGTGGAAGGCAAAGGGAAAGGTTTGGGGGATTATTGGAGAATCCTCAAAAACATTTGCTGATATCTCAATGTTTCACTGGCTTATATGAAGAACAATTTGGGGAGAAATGCACTACCATGGGCAAAGAGTCTTTTATCTATAGCCCCAGCTACTCAGGTGGCAGAGACAGGAAGATTACAGGCCAAGGCTGAGAAAAAAAAAAAAAAATGTGAGCTACTATCTGGGGGCAGGGGGTAGGGGAGGGAAGCTAAACTAAAAGGGCTGGGCTTCCTGCAAGTGGTAGAGTGCTTATCCAACAGGCACAAGCTCCTTAGTTCAATCCCTAACACACACAAAACAAAACCAACCCACCAGCCAACAAACAAAAAACAGGACAAAGAATGCAATCAAAACATACTAAAAATGTACTAAAAGCCCAATGATAGGTTCACCTTCAGTATCAGCAATGATGAAATACATCAGCACATCATAGGACTTAACAAACTAGTTGCTGAAGTACCTTAGAATATTATATTGAGACTGCCATATTGGTTGCCCCTCCTTTTACATCACCCATTCCTGTGAGCTGCAGTATAGCATTCATTCTTGTTTCTAGCTCATCTTTATGTATCTTCCGAATTCTAGATGCCAAGAATCCCTGTGTATTTTAACTGACCTTCAATTGAACTGGTGAAAATTGGAGGTAAAGACAGAAAATAACCCAGATATAAATCAGCCAGGAATGTTCATGCATTTGCAAGTTATTGGTTATAAAAGAATTAGCACCGGACGATTCTTTTTAAATATATGGATTGAGAGAATAGTAAGTTTAGCTGAGTAGTTGACCTGGGTAGAAGAGGATACTCCTTAAAACTGAGTTGTGGAGCTGGGCTCGGGTGGCTCACATTTATAATCCTAGCTACTCAGGAGACTGGGATTTGAAAATCACAAATCAAAGCCAGCCCAGGCAGAAAAGTCCATGAAACTCTTATCTCCAATTAACCAACAAAAAAAAACAGGAAGTAGAGCTGTGGGTCAAGTGATAAGGTGATAGCCTTGAGCAAAAATAACTCAGGGTCAGCTCCCAGGCCCTGAGTTCATGCTCTAGAACTGGCATACAAAAAATAAATTTTCTAATAACTGTGAGCACCAGTTGGGGAAGAAGGTTAAAATAGAGTCCAACCACAGCTATGAAACTGCAGCTTAGAAAATAAATGAACACAAACTTTGCCTTTCATTTTTCTACTATATAAAATCCAACATTTATTATTTTATTTGTAATCCTTCACACAGCTCTCAGAGAGAAATATACTTGTGTTCCCATTCTGCTGATGAGGAAAATCGAGGTAGAAATAAATTGCCTTAGTAGGCATCACACATTAGTCAGAGGCAGAGCTGAGATTCAGACAAGCCTGAGTCTATAACCATAATACCATACTTTTTCCCCCGCTGTGACCCTGTCACTGTGCTTAGCAGGTTTTAAGATTCTTTCAAGGTTTGGTCTGGTTGTTCCTTTTGCACAGATTAAGTAAAAATCACACAGTGAGACAATAATTAGATAGTAGTCCCTTGCCTATTTCCCCTACCTTTTTTTATTTTTTATATCTATAAATCTATCTCGATTTGATTTGAATACAAAGGAGCTGTTAGAGGCAAATACCCTATAATCACTTTTCTTCAACGCTTTAATCCTTTTAAAATTTGTGTAGCTGTTTTCTCATTTTGTAACTGAGAGAATTAAACACTATTCAAATAGTTCATTCTATTTGTCCATAGAGCCCTGTGGTGTGCTAGATACAGAAGACAGAAGACCATGAATTGTCTGAAGTCTTCACTGTACACTGAATACTAGAATTAAATGACATATCAGTTTGGGGTATTTTTCATATTGGTTATATGCCTGTTACCCTATCATATTGTTGAGTTTGAGAAATCCAATATATAAAATACCCTGTAAGAGTAACAGTGCATATTCACATATTCATGGTCTGTCTTAAGCAAATCTAATTTTTTGGAGGGGAGGGGTCAGTCATGAGGCTTGAACTCTCGGCTTGGGCTCTGTCCCTGCACTCTTCAGCTCACGGCGAGTACTCTACTGCTTGAGCCACAGCGCCACTTCCAATTTTCTAGTGGTTTATTGGAGATAAGAGTCGCACAGACTTCCCTACCTGGGCTGGCTTTGAACCGCAATCCTCAGATCTCAGCCTCCTGAGTAGCTAGGATTACAGGCATGAACCACTGACACCCAGTGCAAATCTAGGTTTCACCGAACTTGTCCTAGACATATTGGCATCCTCTAGTACAAGTGCTCTGTAGAATTTCAGAAAATAATGTGTACTGCCCTATCAAGTGAATGGCATTCACACCCTTCATAAATAGACACATTTCCCTCAGCCTCATTTCCTGAGATTGCATCAGTGTTTCCTGTTCTGCAATCTGCTATTTTAAACAGTGTTATTAGAACTTATATAATGTCAAGTAATTAACCCACCTCATGGATATATACTTGGATATAAAAATGCCATGTGTATAAGCCTTTTCCATAGAAGGCTTATTATATTCATATAAGCCTATTCCATCCAATGACAGTCTCAGGAAGACCATCAGTGGACCCCGAAATAGAACGCTCCCTTCTTTCTAGTCCTGACTTACAGCAGAATTATGATTGCTGCTTTGAAAGTACAATAAACTCAATATCTGTAGCCCATGTTACTTGAGAATGTTTAAAAGAACTCTCACCAGCCTAGGGTTGAAATGACAATACAGAAAATGCATTTGGCATGAGAACTAGACAAAAACATAAGAAAACTAATCAAAGAGGAAATACTGTAAGTTGTCTTTTTTTTTAATTAATCAGGGCACCCATAGTTGGGGACTCACTAATAGGACTATGAATCATTTTGGTTGTAGTCGATGTTCTCATTTCTTGATGATGGTCTTTTGAAATTGATATTACATGGATAATGAATTGCTTTATCTGGAAGAAATCAGAACTCTAATGGCATCTCTCTGGCCAATCTGAGGGACCACTATGAGAGCCAAGTGGCCAATTGGATTCTCAGCTGGAAAAATAAGTACATACTTGATCTTTCTTTCAATTAGAGCTGGGGAGATCGATCTAAGTCCAGCCTAATCA